GACGATTCTGCGACCGAGCTCAGTGATGTGCGAACTTGGTACTCTATTGACTGTGGTACGGATCAGGCTGCGCCCCCAGAATTCCCATTTACGGGACCATTTTTTAAAATGATTATATTATAATTTTTTTATAATTATTTATTATATTATTTCTTATTTATAATTTATTATAATTTTTTAATTTTGTGTTTCAAACTTTATCATACCTGGTATGTCTACTGGACTCTTGTTTGGACAGATTTAGGTGAGTTATTCCTAGGATTTACTAAATACAGGCCTACAATATAAACAACAAATTTCCATGCAAAAAATTGTACCGCTTTTGGTACAAAATTCCTGACATAATCATACCGCCAGGGAGATTAATGCAATAATTGTGAACGGGGCCTAACGTTAGGCAAATATTGTCACTGGAGTTTCAGTGGTGATAACAAAACAGTAGGTGTTTGAACACATGGCCCACATTAATTTTTGTAGTGATGGCTTTTGAAGTTTCCCGGTTAGTGGCCATGTCTTATTTGTAAAACTCAAACATTGTCCATTAATGTTACTGTGTTAAACAAATCGGTCTTCATGTAGCCTTTTTTTTTAACCTCATTTGAAGGGATTGTCATGAATGCTACTTTAGAAATTGTATCTATTTTTTACCTTGAAATTGGTGGAATTGAAAACATTTTTTTGGTAGAGGACTACATTTATAATATGTTGCACTCTGTTTCAATTGTTCAGCAAGGCTTGTTTACTGAGGACTTTTAAAGTAAATCTCAAGCTGTACTGTTGCTACTGATGGGCAGGCTTTGAAAATGAGGGCACCATTCAAATTTTAATGACGGTAGGGTTCTGGATCCACCCCCCTTCTATAAAGTTGTGTTGATAGCTGCTGATTTGCTATCCTGTGAGGGTTTTTTTGTTTTAACCCGTTAAAACTGAAATATGGAAACTGCCAATAGACTTTTTGAAGGTGCTAGTTTTCAGGCAGTCATCCTTCATTACTTGGCGAGTTAGTACCTAGAACAAGCAGGTTCATATAATGTGCCCTGACACCTTTATTCTTCTGAGGCAGTAACTTGTCATTTTTTTTTTTCTTCTTCCCATAATTCAAATCTTTAAAAGTTTTTTTTCCCACCATTTTAAACATTAAAACAATACTAATAAACGCCAAAACACAACAGCAAAAGGGAAAACACACCCATTCTACCCTCCATCAGATTCTCTTTCCCTAATACGTCATGGTTCTTTTACTATAATTGTTAAGCTATATGAATGTTATAAATTTCCAATATCATCTGTTACAGGAGGTTCATAGCCTAGACGTTAAAACTATCGTACCACCTGCCCCAAATTTCTTTGTATCTACTTGCCAAATTTCTTAAGTGTATGCAACTTTTTTGAATTGCTTATTTCCTCTTTCTACTCCACTGTAGGGGGTTAATGAGATAATGAGACATTTTTATATTCTAAATTATGACTAGGAAAATCTCCCAGAATGCATGTATACACCATCAACATTTAAAGTAACATTATCGGTTACATTCACTTTATTATTATACAGGATTTATATAGTGCCAACAGTTTGCGCAGCGCTTTACAATATAACGAAGACATTACAATCACAAGACAAATTGGTAAGGAGGGCCCACAATCTAAAACATCAACAACTTCTTCCCAATATCCTTTTCGCTTTGGACATCGTCATAACGATTGTGGTAAATTCCATTGGGGATGCCTACAGCTTGGGGGGGGGGGGGGGGGAGATTGAACCATCCACGTTCTTTTTTGCCAGTTCTTTTCCGAAATGTTTCCTACTTCCTCACTATCGTTGCCTACATTTCCTGGGATGTCTCAAAAGTATTTTTGATAACATGCACCAATATTTAAACCTTTGGCTATCTTAGACCGAACTACCTGAACTATTAGAGGAGTGGAGAAATTCACTGAAGGCCCACTCACACCATCAAGTTCCAGTGGGGGTGGGAGAGGGCATGGCGATGCATTGAACTCAATGGCACATCAGCTACGCCCCCTACCGTGGTGCGATTGCCGACACCCGAACACGTGGCACATTAGTGCCTGCGTTCCGGTCCAGTGCGATCTGCAAAAAATGCTGCAAACACTATTTTTTGCAGATCACACTGGACTGGAACGCAGGCACTAATGTGCACACATTCGGGTGCCGGCAATCGCACCGCGGGCTGGGGGTGTGGCTGAGGTGCCATTGAGTTCAATGCACCGCCCCAAAACAATGAGCCGGCCGGGTTGTGTTCCAGTGCATTCCCAAGGCTGAACGCACTGGAAAGCACTCCTGAAGGTATTAGATTTTGTGCCTTTAGCGCGTGTGTCTACTGTAAGTATTGATAAAAAAAAATTTCCAGCCCAACGACTACTTAGAATTGTTTAAAAGAGGCCATCAGTATATAATTGCGATAACAAAACTGCCTCATTATCCCACGCAGTTATGCCCTGCAGCTTGGCTACATCCGATAGCTGGTCGTTTACCATATAGTTGCACGGTACACATTTCCTACTATACCCTGAAGTTTCTAATGCCCAGAGTGAGTTTATATGTCCAAACAACTATTCCAATATTTTCTGACGTCTGAGTACTCCACTGTGTTCCAGCCTGCCAAATGCTGGAACTGTGCAACTATAAAATACACATAGATTTGGGACAATTCAGGCCCCCTTGATCTTTGGGA